CCCCCCCCCCCCCCCCCCCACGCCCACCCTACCAAAAACCGACATACCGAAAAAAGGTTGAAGCCTATCGCCCTAAAGCCACCTGCGGAAAGCCCCTACAGTCACAGGCTCGCTTCGGATCGCCGGCCCCATCCTCAGGGCTTCGTTTCCAGAAGAGATCTCAGACTGCCAAGGGGGTTTGGGGCTTAGCCTAAAATTAGGGTTTCAAGCTTCAGGATTGAAATCTGAGGTTTCGGGTCTGCGGTTCGGGTCAGATATATCGAATAATAGCTACTGCTAGTTTTCCTGATAGTCCCCCTTACATGCTTGTATTCTGTGCCTGTATGACCGGTAGTCCCTCCCCTTAGTATTCTGGGTTACGATGGGGGCCCATATACAGTCAGTGGCACCCTTGCACAGGCCTCGGGGAGGGAAAGGCAACCCACTCCAAGCCCGAAGCCCTTAAAGGCCCTACCAAATATATGGGGCCTCAATAGTTACCTATATTATNNTATTTTGGGGTGGGTTCCTTATTATAATTACACTGTGCAGGACCCCCCAAACCCTGTTCTAATTCTTAAGGCCCCTCTATTACAGCTTGAAGACCCCAGAGTATGCCGCTGGGAGTTCCGAGGCCAAGCATCATCATTTGCAATGCCGTCCTGGGCGCTTTGGAGCGTGATGGACTCGATGTTGTCGCAGAACTAGGTCTTTCTGCTTTAAGATTTCTCTTCTGACCACTGGTTTACAGTAGTTTACAATAGTTGCGAGTTGCCGTGACTAACTCTCCTGGGAGGTAGACCTCTTGCGAAGATTCTGGGGTCTAGGCATGCATGTGTGGGCTGTTCTATCGGGGTCGGTCCTCCCTTGAACTGGGGATGTTGAAGAACTGGCCATACTTTACGAGCAAAAGGTATGTCTTGAACATCCGTGCCTAGGGACCCATGGCACACCCAAGACTGAGAGCCTGGGGGGGATCTACGGTGTAGGGCGCAAGCACCTCCTAGACCGTCAAAGTTGAAGAGTAGATACAGCACCGAGCGTTTCTGCTCTTGGAGTTCACGAAACTGTTGCCTTACATGGGAATGGTAGAGGTCACTGGGTTTTCGATCAGGATCACCGGTTCAGGGCCGAGAATTACGGATCACCGGCACTGGTGACTCAGGCGCTGGCTGCTGGGAGCAAGCGCTGAGATTCCTGCGAAGCATGGACAGAGGCCTGTCGGATCTGGTTCCTTTAAGTTGCACGGTACTCTATATAACTCAATCCGCAGCAAAATGAAAGCCTAGTTCATCCAGCAGAGAGCCATATGTTTTAGGAAGCCGACGGTGTTCTGTCACATGCCCACGAACCTGCCTCGACGTTCTCAGTCGCAGGTGCGAACTCCGTGTCCTACAGTGCGACCATCACTGCCTGCGGCCGAAGCAGTCGCCTGGACCTCAGTCAGGTTGGGATTTAACATTAGGGTTTAGGGTTTAGGGGTAAAAAGAAGTGGAAAGCCTGTTGCAAAAAGGGTTTTTTAACCCCTTTGCTGAAATCAAGCTAACTAATAGCAGGAACTTGAGCACCCACAGGCAACGAACCCCTAAGATGCTGAGGGCATTTGAAGCAGGGCTTCTTATATAGGTCTTGTGATTTCGGCCCAGGGATTTAGGAACGGAGTTTACAAGAGGAATAATGTGGGTGAGTGTGCACTTGGCGGGGGTGCTCTTGTGGATCCTATTAATTAGGCTTCATATTCAGGCAGCCTACCGAGGATCCTCTTGGCCTTACAGATCTTGGCTGCAAAGACGCCATCGAACCTCTTCAGGGTTCAGGGTTGAACCCCAGCCTCCTGAAAATCCAAAGCAGAGGCGGGAAGACTGTCTGGTGCTTAGTAGGGAATGGGGGAATGGGTTATAGGGACTAGTATAAGGGACCTTTAGGGACTATCATAGGGATCCATTCCCCCATTCCTTACTAAGCACCAGACAGAAGAGCAAAAGTGTTCAATTCCAGCATGGCCATGCCGTGCGGCCATAGACTCTCAAAGCTACCTCACTTGCATCTTCCCGTCTTCGCTATCAAGGCCAATTACACCCCTAGCTCCCTCAATCCCGAGCATGTACAGTAAAGTCTCCGCCTCGAAGGGTTTATGGTTCATGATTCAGGGTAGAGGAGAGTTGTTCTCAACCCCGCCTCTTGACAGTGGACTAGCAGCGCACTTTGAAATTTTGGACCTGCTCCAAAACCAGCACGGCGCATGCACGCGCAAGGTTGTAGGAAGGCTGATCAAGGCTTCAAGGTGGGAATGTGTTTAAAACCGTGTGCGCTCAAGGTGATTTTCGAGTTACGGGCTGCAACCATAATAAACAACAACCCCCGTCTAGTCTAGTGCTGTTGATCAGTGCCTCAACCACAGTTTTGCGGCGAAAGCACGAATTGCCAAGAAACTGTCGGTTTCTTGCTGCGAGATTTTTATGTTGAGCTACCATAGCATGGAAAGCACCAGAATTCAGAAAAAGCATATTATGTACAGTACACCCATCTACCGCGATTATATTGCAGCTCAACTAGTTCCTTTACAAGACCCTTGAGTGATAAATCCCTTGCAATGGCCATCAAGCCCAAAGCTGATCCCGAAACCCTAGACTCTAGACTAGGCTGGGAGTGGGCCGTTTGGCTGCTTGCAGAGCTTCGGCAGAAGGGACGTAAGCACGTCGAGGCAGGCTTCGTTGCGGATCCGTTGAGGATGTGGGGTTGTTCGGGGACTGTTCTGTTAGAGATGTTGCAGGGGTGATTGCGGTTACGAGTAGTGCTACATACCCCATGCTCTGACTCTCCTGTGGCCGCGTTTGTTCATGTCTTATGTTCACTCGAACCTGCTGGGGTAGTCCGATCGTGTTGTCGCTGGAGCACTGTAGCGACCACCGTCAACGGCGTAATTACTCTTCAACATCATTCTAGAGATGACTTCGGTGCATCAACTGCAGTGTTGTCTTCCGCCTGTAAAGAGGTGGTGGTGTTTCGCTGCATCATTGTTCAGAACGAATGCTGTTGTTTGCCTTGGTCGGAATATTCCTGTCATTCTTCTTCGGGTCATCAAAATACAGTGTGGCGCCCGTTTTGAGTGGGCGTCACATCTATCAGTGGTGCGTGCGCGTGCGTTGGTGCGTTCGTAAATTCGTGCGTGGGTGCGGGCGGGCGGGCGGGCGTGCGTGGGTGCGTGGGCGGGTGGGTGGGTGTGTCTGTGTCTGAAGACTAGCTAGTGCCACGCTGAACCTTTATCGTCTGAGGAAACATTATTGGTGCTGGGTGCTATTGGTTCGACTTTTGCCTTAAACCTAGAGCCTCTCGATCACCACCTCCACTATTATTGTCACGGTGGCTTTGCTGTTGCATTTGTTAATCTCGCTGTGTTCTCCGTATTCCTTGCACTTTCCGTTTTCGCATGCACAATCCTGTACATTTCACGGGAGCAGGAGACAGGCCGGCGATGGGCCAGAGCCCCAGATGTCAACCAAAGATGTCTCTGCGGCTTACATCCTGTAGTGGGTGGAGATGGGTAGGTAACCGTGAATGTCTGGCAGATATACTGCCATGGATTAATCAAAGGCTGGCTTTTGCTCGCCGAAGAAGCTCAGCAACAGGAGGAACCTCAGCGCACTATGAATTTGCAGTATCACCAATCGTATGGTTTTCGGCACGGGGTCAGTCTGCGGTACGTTTGGTTTTGAATTCTCTTCAGCTTGTTGTGTAGGATTCCTGACTCACAAGGATTGATTCTGTTGTCCAAACAAGGCTTGTTCATTTGCCGCAAGTTTGCCGCAAGATGTGTCCCCAGCCTATCTCCAAGAACCCTACTGTAAGTCGCACGAAACTCTCAGCCCCCTTCCCAAAGTCTCCATTCCCCGCCCCACCATGCGCTAAAAGTTCTACCTTCGTGTTTCCTGTTTGGTTACTGTATTTATGACCTTACCGAGCACCTGCTCACTATCTCCCCGTGTAGGTCGCTTCTCGCCCAGCATTGTGTCTGCATTCTGTAGATCACCCGGTTTCTTGCATGTGGGTTACGTAGACGTAGTCATAAGCCCTCAATTATGAACCTCCCGCGCCCCAAACCCTGCACCCGGAATCTGGACTTCCGCAAACCAAGAAAAGATGACCCAAACCAAGAAAACTACACCCTCAAGTGCCTTAGATGCAAGTAAGCCTTGCAAGGGGAGCAGCCTTGGCGGACAAGCTCATAAACCCGTGTCACGCGAGATTTTCAGATGCATGCCGCATTTTGCGCCGAGGCTGTCGCCTATCATGCCGCAGTGCAAGCCTGCCGTTGGCTCCCTCAGCTTACGGGTCTTTAGGGTTTACGGTTTGGGGCATCTCTTAACTTGCACACCCAATGGAGTGGCTGCAGGTTTCTTGCGATCAGCTTCTTCCGAGGGGGAACTTACCACTGCAACAGCTAGTGGTTATTGTGGCATTGGAGATGGTCTTGACCGCGAAGCGCTCGTCGTCGTGGCTGTTGCCAGTCAGCAGTTGTTAGTGCGGCACGAGGTCGACCACTGTTGATAATGAAGTTCTGCTGTTAATGTTGTGTTTAGTGTTTTGGTGCAGGACTTTCCTCGCGATACAACCCCAGACCTCCGAAACAAAAAGGACCTTGATCCGCAAAACCGAGCACCCCAGTCCTAACCGCTCTGACGGCCCCTAGCAGTCCTAGCAGTATGGCCCTCCTACCCGAAAGCTCAGAAGCCCTTACCCACGGCCCTTCTGAGAAAAGCCTCAGAACGGCAAAGGCGACGGAAGTGCTGCTAACAGCTTCAACATAAGCCTTCAAGCAAACCCTAAACTTAAACCCCAAAAAAGCCTTTTTGGAATATGGCTCATAGAAACCCTCTAGTACGCCTGAAATCCCTCGCTCCTTGACCTTAAGCCCTAACCTTCTCAGCTCCGAACTCCTAAGCTCCACAACAACTAAGCCCGTGAACGAGTGCGAGTGCCGAAACCCTATATTCTCAAAAAGCCCCTGAAACCCTAAACCCTTACACCATCATGGTATCCTGGACACATTTCAGGCGGAAGGAAAAGAGGTGATTTAAAAAAACCCTTGCAGATGCCCCTCACCATCTGTATCACGCCGCCCTGCGACTATGGAACCTCGCCTGGCCTGTCCGAGTTGTGAGAGCGTAAACCCTTAATATCGGGACCTTCATAATTACAATAGGGTTTGGGGGTATATCATACTATAATAAAAAAAAAGCAATAAAACAATAATAATAATAATAGTAGTTAATCAGTACGGATGCAAAAAGTAATAATAGTAGTAAGGAACCCCCAAAACCCCTATTCTAATTATTCAGGCCCCCACATTAATAGGGTTTGGGGTTATATCATACTATAATAATAAATAATAAGGAACCCCCGAAACCCTATTCTAATTCTTGAGGCCCCTAGATTCGAGATGCGATTTCGAGACCCAGAGAACCCAATACAACTTAATTAAGGAATTTACCTTAGATTATAGGGGCCTTAATTTTATGATTTAAGGTATATTCCTTAATGAAGGGGTATTGGGTTCTTTCGAGAGGTCCTCGCGGCCGATGGGAGGAGGCCTTGTCGGTGCTGGGCGCCATGCGCCTGGAAGGGCGTGGGGCCGACAGGCGGGGGGTTTAGGGGTTTAGGGTTTTGGGGTCAATCCAAGCCCGTGCTCAAAAAAAGGTGTGTAGGGTTTAGGGTTTCGGGCTTAGGGTTTAGGGTTTCGGGTTTAGGCATTGTAGGCCTTTGGGCTTCAGGGGTTTGGGGTTTTTTTTTGTTTTTTTTGGTTGGGCATTGTAGGCCTTTAGGCTTTCCGGGGTTTTGGGTTGTTTTTGTTGGGGCCTTTCAGGCCTTTTGGCTTCAGGGTTTGGGGTTTTTTTGTGTTACCTTGAGGTGCTTTTTGATTTTTAGGGTTCAGGGTTTAGGTTTTTGTATTAGGGTTCAGGACCGGGTCAGGGTTTTTTGGGCTTTTCGATTTTAGGGCTTCGGGCTGAAAGGCTTGTGAGTAAGGGTGCCGGGAAGGATTTCTAAAAGGCTTCGGCAAGGGTGATATACAAGTTGCGCACAGGTTGGTAAGCGGCTTAATGTGGTATTGGTTGTCATGAATGAAGCACCCTTGATCAATAAACCACTCTCCCTTGATAAAAGTTGTTTGGGATTAGGCTTTTTTGCAGGGCTTGGGGTAGGTACTTTGTTCGGGCATGTTTTCAGTGGTCGGGTTCAGGTGTGTTAGGGCTTCGGCATTAGGTAAGGGCGTTACGATGGTTGTATATGGGTGCGAGGGCTTTACGAGCGGTTTGGTGTGAGGGGGACTGAGCTTAAACTAAAGCAGACGGCTGTTGGTTTGCAAATACCATCTTTGGCATCTTTATGTGGACTAAGTCACAAGTGTTTCATGTGTTCTTTTAAACCTGGTTTTTGAAGGGGAGAACATTATTGCTTCAGTATTGCTGGTATTGTTTTGTTGCTGAATACAATGTGACTGTTCGTCTTATTCCAAGACTAACCCCAAATCTCCAAACCTCCCAGAACCCTCAACACCAAAATAACCTCAGAAGGCTTCTGGCTGGGGGTATGTGTTCGACATGTAGCGACTCGTTTCTGACAGGTCGTTGCAACAGACATACCAGCGTGTGCTTTTGGGTCTAATTGGAGTGTTCTTGCCCGTGTAGACCCTGTAAGACAGACATGTTGGTATTCAGGTCACCCAGTGTATATATAACCTTCAAGATTCTTGGAGATTGCTAGACTTGTACTTCTCTTAAGATTCCTTCGGTATGGGAGAAGTAAGTTTCAGTCTGTTTAAATTTTAGAGGCACTGCATTTCAGAGAAGGACGGAGGGTTAATAGTGAGGGTTCGGCTTCAGCGCACTGCCGCTCGTGAGATTTTGGTCACAGACAGGCCAATGCGCAAGGGCTTCGAAAGAGCAACGAGTCATGACCACTCCATGGCGATAGCCGCTGTCGTGTAGGATACACGGCTCAGGGTTCCTGGGGTTTACAGAGACTTCCAAGTCCTAGCCTAGCCGAAGTTGACCAATGTGGCATGCAGAAAACAGTCTTCGACTACATTCTGCACACCTTTTTTCACTAGAGAACCACGAAAGCATCTTAGACATAAAGCGCTCCGACACCACAGCACGCCGGCCGGTCGCAACAGGCCATGACTGCGCAGGACATTCGCATTGACTGCTGCATGTTTAAAGGTCTTTGGCAAATGACCATTGCACCTCCTGGCATGACCGTCAGTAGCAACCAGGGATCAGAGCCAAAAAAAAGTGTGAAGATCGGGATTCATTAGCAAGTTGCCAGTGATTGGAAGTCCACTGCCCAATCCGGCCGCAAGCCAGCGTTGTGAGCAGTGTCAGAAAGTCGGAAAGCGATTCCTGCACTAGTATAGAGGCAAGTGGCATTCTTCATTCTTCAGAGAATGTCGCATGTGATTGTGATCTACCCGGTTCAAAGTACGCACCAGGGCTTCCGTATGGATGCAGGTTACAAGGGATTCGCGGAAAAGCTTGTTTGTCGGTTTGGTGTCCTTGATTTTTTCTTGGCTGCAACGGTATTGAGACAGGACGATCCTCCCGCGACGGACGTGGCGATGGAAGGAGCAGGTGAAGCGGCGCCGGCCGACGCCACGGCAACAGATGCCGCCGCTGCGGTGGACGCAACTCGGTGGTTGTGGGCTTTCTGAAATTGAGGGCTTAGCAATAGGGACTAGGGCATGTGGTGTGCATGATTCTCATGGGATATCTCAGCAACTACACCACGACTGATTCGATGTATTTCTTTGCGGGGTGGGAAGGTATCTAGCGGTGATACAGGGCCTTACATAAATCGGAAAATCTTGTCCGTCGGCACTCATGACCCCGCCACCGACAGTTCAAGTCCCTTTTGTCCTGTCACCTGAACCCAGCCCAAGCTTGCCGCCCTAAACCCTAACACATGAACAGCAATATGTCAATACGGTTCCGACGGGTTCCGTCTTGAATTTCTAGTCTAAAGCCTCCCAAAACCCCAGTCTGTTCAAACCTTGAGCAGCTTTCCTTCCCTCAACCGTGAAGCTTGAAACCGCATGCAACTGATAGCGATAGCGCCAACAAGAGGTACAAGACCCACACAAGCACAAACAACGTTATCTTCAACAAAACATGGCACCAGCAACAACAACAACAACAACAACAACAAGAAGAATAGCAAAAAACGCCAGTAACTCAAACGGCAATAATACGACCAGATGATACCCGATGCAACCTTTAGCATCACTAGCAATTACTACAAGATGGCAGTATGAACAGCAACAATAGCAGCAACAGCCCCAGCAAAAACGATAACAAGGTTTAGGGTTTAGGGGTTTAGGGTTTTGGGTTTAGGGTTTTGGGTTTTGGGGTTTAGTGTTTAGGGTTTAGGGTTTAGGGTTTAGGGGTTTAGTCTTGTGTGATTGGGTGAGTGTTGCAGTCAATGGTGCTGCAGCTTTGCCTGGCCTTTTTCTTCAGGGTACCCGGCAGTCGCAATAGGCCTGGATGCAAAAAAAAAGGTTTAGGGTAATGATATCAACAACGGTAACACAACATTGGCCAGACTACCAGTAGTAGGAGCAAAACAAGGGGTCCACCCAGATCCACCAAGCCTTGAATCCCCTAAAGGCCCATCCATGTACAGACCCGTTGTTTAAGGACCCGTGCAAGGAAGAACTCGTTCTGAAATCCGGGCTCGTCCTTGCTAGGTCCTAGGTAGAAACCCTAAACCCCAAACCCCAAACCCTAAACCCTAAACAACCCCAAACCCCAAACCCTAAACCCTAAACCCTAAACCCCAAACCCTAAACCCTAAACCCTAAACCCTAAACCCCAAACCCTAAACCCCAAAGCCTCCTGAACCCCCGAAGCCTGAAG